AGGTTTACTCTGTTGAATTCAGCTATGATGAGAATGCTGTTTACAGCATTGGAGAAGATGGGAAGGTATGCTGTGGGAGAGAGTCCCTGGGAACTGGGTATTGCAGTACGGATGTCATGCAGAAGTGACTTAGTGGAATACTGTGGCTTCATGAGCTCCAATGGGAAAGTGGTTGGGTGGGCCCCAAAGAAAGGTGCTGATGGCCTGAGTGAAAGGGAGGGGGAAATATCCACTGGATGCATTTCTCTGACATTGTGTGAGTTGTTCTTGCTTCTGTCACTATCAGTGTCCCTACAGAACAGGACAAAGGCCATGTGTATTTCTTTTGCATCTGACCAGAATCTTTCCATCTCCCCCATTGTACCCAGTTTATCCAGTGGAATATTCACAAAAGTGGTTCCAAAGTCTCCGAATACGGCCTCCCCAGAGACGCCACCGGCCCTTTTGTGTTGTCTGGCTACAGCGGCTACAAGCAAGTTCAGGTCCCACATGGGAGGCTCTTTGCATTTGACTCCGAGGGAAACTACATGCTGACCTGTTCTTCTTCTGGGGGGGTCATCTACAAGGTAACAGAGGCTGGAGAAAGTGATCCAGAAGTACCATAGCATATGCAAGCTCAGCCGTTTTGAAGAGAGGCTGAAGTTAAAGGGCAGGCATATTGGCTATGTTCTCTACAAGCGTGTGCCAAATTGTGGCTTCCCCTGCTTCAACAGAGCTGGGTTTCCTCCCCATTTTTTGCATACTGTATGTCATTTGTGAGCCTCATGATGATACTAATGTCTTTTCTCAAGTGTGGTAGATAACAGTTTTATTTATATTTATTTATTTATTATTTAGATTTCTATCCCGCCCTCCCCACAGGCTCAAGGCGGCTAACAGGGCATAATGCCAGATAAAACAATAAAACAATATAAAATGTTAAATTACACATAGACAATTAACGAACAGTTAAATAACATCCTAAAACAATTTTGGTGCTCCTCTATTCGATTCCAGATGTTAAGATTTTTAAGAGCAAGATGGCGTTCTCAGTAACGTAGCTAGACAACTACGGCAGTGCATATCCCACTGCCCTACCGTCCCCTAAAAGACGTCCCGTTCCCTCCAATGATGCCCACATCAGGATGGCAATATGCGGAAATCATAGGGCGTTGGTGGAACAGTGATGGTGGCAGCTCCTATTCAAAAGCCTGGCGGAAGAGCTCCGTCTTGCAGGCCCTGCGGAACTGTACTAGGTCCCGCAGAGCCCGGATCTCATCTGGGAGCTCATTCCACCAGATAGTCCAAGGGTCTGACTCAGGCTAAGTCAGCTTCATGTGTGTTTACTGTCTCCCACTCCTCTAGTCAAAACAAGGCTCGATGGTGCTGTATTTCTGAATGTATAGGCAATTTCTGCAGGGGGGGAAAGGGTTCCTCACTTTGTATTTTCTTTTCTCTTGCAGCTGAATAGCAATGAGAAGGTGCTGGAAAGCTGCCTCTCCCTGGGAGGACACAGAGCCCCAGTGGTCACGGTGGACTGGTGCACAGCTATGGATTGCGGAACCTGCCTCACTGCCTCCATGGATGGGAAAATCAAACTAACCACTTTACTGGCGCAGAAGTCTTAAACAGAACTGTGGCGATGGGAAAACCTTTTTTTTTTTGAGATCAGTATTAACCATTTAGACCCAAGCTACACTGGGGAGGAGAGAACTATGACCACTTCTCTTAGCGTTACGTTCTCCTCTAGGTTAGCAATGTCTTGCCAGCTGATGCCAAACCACTGCCAGTTAGGACACTTCAAGTTGCAGCAGCTGCCCTAAACTAATTATGCTCTTAGCAGATGTGCACTGATATCCAAGCCCCTTCCAGGGAGGACCCGCCCCTTCTCTTCCTGGGCATCCCAGCAGCAGACAGCCATAAATCTCCAGGATTGTGCCAGGGTGGGAGGCAGACTGCTGAGAAGAACTGGCTGTGCAAATCCTAACAGTATTCTGCTTCTGCATTTCTTAGTAAAAGATGTTCAAATTGCATTTGTGTTGTGTGTGTGTGTGTGTGTGTGTGTTGCTTCTGTAGCTTTAGGAAACAGTTTGTCTGGGGGCTCTGATGAATAGCCCATTGTTTCACTTCCATCTACTGAGGAAATTCTGAAGGCTTGTGACTTCTCCAGAGGCAATTTGTTGCCTTTGTATGTGACATGTAGCAACTGCAAAGGCAGGGTGAAAATGCTCCGTTGCTCTATGGTTGTGCATATGTTAGGAACCCCTTAGAGTTTACAGAAATCATAATCCAGTTCCAGTGACCTGATTTCCTTCTTTGTCAAGTGGATCTTCCATCCTGCAATAGCAAGCAGGCTGCCTCTGTTGTGGGACTACTACCTGAATTTAGTTCTCTCTAGCAAATAAAATTAAGAAGTCCAAATGCGGGGGTGGGGGGGATTGTATTAGCCAGGTCTTTTTAAAAAAGCAATTTATTCTTTTGAAAGGTAACAGTGTGTATGCAGTGTAAAACAGCCAAAGGTCACTTCCATTGCTCTAAGTAAACCTAGTCCATAAAGAAAGTACCTATGGGTAGCCATGTTAATATGTAGAAACCATGTACCAGTGGAACCTTGGAGACTAACAATAACAGTCTCTGTAACGTATTCCCCACCCCCACCCCTGGCCAGTGTGGTGTAAGAGCAATGGACTCTAATCTGGAGAACCGGGTTTGATTCTCCACTCCTCTACATGAAGCCTGCTGGGTGACCTTGGGCCAGTCACAGTTCCCTCAGAACTCTCTCAGCACCACCTACCTCAAAAGATGCCTGTTGTGGGAAGAGGAAAGGAAGGAAATTTTAAGCTGCTTTGAGACTCCTTAAAGTAGACAAAATCAGGGTATAAATACCAACTCTTCCCTTCCTGTTGTGAATATAAAGGCATTATTCTGGTGGACATACACTCCTAAATATCTGATAGTGAACTCTGACACAGAAATTTGTACTGGAACAAGTGGAGACCAGCAAGAAACTTGAATGGCAGTTTATTCTATTCCCCCCACCTTTGCTTCCTTCCCTCTCCCATATCCCCTCTCTCACTCTTTCTCCCTTCTGCCACCCCTTTTCTTTCTCTCCATGTAACTTTCTCTTTCTGCCCCCTCATCACTCTTTTTCTTTATGCCTGCCCACTTCATCACTCTTTCTGCCCCATCACTCTCCCAGCCTCTCACCTGCATTATATCTAGCTGAGACCTCTCGCTTCCCCAAACCCTGTCGTCCTCAGACTTCACAATAAAATCTCTAGAAATTTCCCAACCTGGAGCTGGCAACCCTTGTCAGGCCTGCCCCCAAAGGCCAAAATAGGCCTGGCAAGGGTGCTGCCCCTTTCCTCTGCTTTTTACTGACAGAACCAAGCTTGGGATACGGTGGTTACCTAGCAACAGCCACTGAGGGAATCTGTTTTTTAAAGCTACAGACTTTTTAAAAAAATCATGTTTAGATTTCACATTTTTCTGCAAACAGCCTTTTTCAGGTTTGCAGAAAGATCTGTCTTGCCCCATTCACAGCTCCAGTCACTAGATTTAAGTTTCTGAAGATATTCTGACTTTGCTATTAGAATATAAGATACAGATTGTCAGTCAGTCCAGTCACTAGATTTAAGTTTCTGAAGATATTCTGACTTTGCTATTAGAATATAAGATACAGATTGTCAGTCTTTTAAGGTATCGCTAGACTCCTGTCTTGTCCTCCTAGTAAAGCAGTTTGTCTCAAAATCCCTTTTATCTAAGAATACAGTTTCAAGGGCATGCTTGCACTACTACTGAGATTTGTTAGCTCAGTTAATTCCTATAGTTAAGGCCAGAAGTGAACAAGGCAGCCCTTTGAAATGGTAAGATTTGCAGTTTGCAAATTTGCTGCATTATTACAAAAATATCCAGTAAAGGGAGTAGCTGTGAACAACAAAGTGTGTATCTAGGTTTGCAGGCATGTTTTTAGGATAGGGAACACTTTCATGGGCTAGATTCACAGGGAGATATTAAGGTAACAGTCTCAGCAGCCAGCAAACAGCGTTATTCATTGAAAAGTGCATATGTAGTCTAATATGCCTGAGATGGCTTACAGTAATTTAATTACAGTAACAAACTATAAACAGCAAGTAGCTAAAACACATGAAAAGACAGACCCATAAATCACTCTGTAAACCACAGTTGTTGCCTCAGTAGTGATTTCCACATTAAGATTATTCATATGAGTAGGGGCAAATAGAATGAAATGAACAGGAGTGATTTACTCACCAGGGTATATTGGCAGTATGCACAGAATAAAGCTCTTGACAATTGCACAGTGATTACACTATTGTGACCACACTCCCCCCCCCCCCCCCTTTAAAAAAAACCTCTGGCTTGATGAAGAGTTCTGTGGAGCTCATAATCTTGTACAATGGTGTAGTATTTTGCCCCTCATATAACGATGTTACACATGACTTTTACTTTTGAAATTTTGCTATGGACCAACAGGGCTACCTACATTTTTTTTCTGTCTACTGTTGGAATCCCGGGACTTAGTTGTTAAAGAAAGGGATATTTTGACGAAATGAAAAAGATCCTGGGAAGACGCTAGAGAACATTATTATGATTTTGCCTCAGTTCCTCACTTGCTCCATCAACGAAACTTAACCTACATCGTGTTGCTCTAAAGGCTACTCGTTGTTTCTCTTTGCTTTTGGCCTTTTCGCTTCCTACAGTCCTCCGCTCTACCAGCTGAGCTCTCGAAGGGGCATACCTTCGCTTTTGGCCTCTTGAAGGGAGTGGCTTCAGCGAGATACTTGCGTTCAGCAATTTTTAATTTTTTAAAGTTTATTTGTTTGCTTCTTGTTTCCAGGAGAGTTTAAGCGACTCGACGACCGCACTGGCAGCCGCAGAGCGAGTCGATTGGGGGGCGAGGGATTCGTTTCTATTGTCCCTTTGAAGCTTCGCCGCCAGCCAATGGAGACAGGGCGAGGTGGAGCCAGTTGTTTTCCATGCACGGAAGGAGGCTGCTCTTAGCGAACATGGCTCCGCTTCTCTTCCGGGTTGTGCTTTCTCTGCAGGAGCTCTGAGCCGAGCGTTTGCGGGGCTGAAGCTTAGTCTCTTAGTCTCTTTCTCTCTCTGTGTGCGTGTCCGTGGTGGGGGTTTTGAGGCGAAAGGCCTTTCTGCCGCCCAAGTTCGCGGTCTCCTGCAAGGGAACTAGCGGGCGGGTGCCGCGGCTCTTGATGCCCGGGCGAAGTAAGTAACCCCCGAGAGGCTCCGTCTTAAGGTTTTTGTCGCGACGAGGTGTCTTGCTTGGCAAGAGCTGGAGCGCGTGCCGCTCCAGGGTATAAGGATGGTTTCGGTAGATCAGCCTAAAATCCACCTGATGTTGCCCTCCAGGAAAGCTGCACAAGCCGAGCGTCTCAAACAGTCAAACAAGCTAGACAAAAATGACTGCTTTCTTGTTCGGGTTCATGCTCCCTCCCGCAGGTGCCCTGTATTTTTAAATGCTTCCTGACCAGCAGAAATTCTCAGATAGTGGTGAGAGGTTGTTGGATTTCTTTCTCCGAGTTCTTAAAGGAGCAAGAACATATCATGAGAGGAGGGAGGCAGGAAGTGTTGCATCAGTGCTTAGTTCTCGTGGCCTTTTCTTAGACGCCCAGGGAAATGCTGATCACCACTTTGGGGTCAGGAAGCGGGTTTTCTCCAGGCCAGTTTGGTCGGGGATCCTGGAGGTTTTTTGTCATCTTCAGGGCATGGAACAGGGTCACTGGGTGTGTGTGTGTGGCGGGGAGGTATTTGTGAATGTCCTGCACTACACAGGGGGTTGGACTAGATGACCCTGGAAATCCCATACAATTATGATTCTATAACTTACATAAACGCTGTTTCATTACAGCGCTTTGAAAGCATCATAGGTTGTACTCAAGAGAGTAAACAAGCTACACAGACACACATCTTACCTCTGCTTCTGCAGTAAAACCACAGCCGCAGTCTATAATCACTGAAAGCTAAGCAGCCTACCCCACCCCCCCACATACTTCTAGTGTGTATATGAGTTTACCCCTTTCTTGTGGATTGGTCTGTGCTCATTGCCACTTCTGCATTCTGCACTGAAACATGGATTCAAATCTCTGCTCTAGCAATACATGTATTCTAAGACAGCAGGACAATTCTTTCCCAGCTCACTCGGATTGTGAATATGAAAGGGAATTAAGAATATGTGAAGATGCAACCAGTCCCTGCCCTGTGATATGCCCAATTAGTAATAATATAATAATATACTTTATTGTAATTGTACATAATACAATGAAATTAAAGATGCAATCATTTCGGTGAACCATACTCATATACACTCACACAACCATTCACAACCATCTGCATTCCCAGCATTAGAAGCTCCTGCCGGCTGTAGATACTATTCGTCAAGCAGCGTGTAGTAACTCAAACAAAAACAGCCATACAAAACACCGAAAGAGAGAGCACAAAGCCATGGCTGCACCTAGAGCAATCCTGCCAAACTATCTTAAAATTACCCTTGTTTATTTTTTCTTGAATGGGAGATGGAAACTTCTGAAGTAGGAAAGAAGCGGGTCCTCCCAGCATGGATGACACAGAGCACAGCTGAGCCTGCGCGAAAGTGGGCAGAAGTGAGGAGAAAAAGAAGGAAAAAAGTTTGGCCAAGGTAAGGGTAATTCATTTAAGCTGTTCAGCCCTGCTGCTTGCATGTAGGCTTGAAAAATACAGTCTGCAATGAACTATTGTGTGAGGACAGTTGCTACTTAACCTTCCTAGTGTCCTCTGAACGGTGGAGCTCCAGATGGGTGGGAGTGACGTAACATCAGGGAACTTTTGGAAAAGGCAAGCTTTAGAGCAGGATGGAATAGTAGTGAAGAAAACTGGTTATTTCCATCCTCAACAGGTCTGGGAAGTATTCCCTCACCTGAAGCAAAGGTATGGCTTTTCAGGCACTACCAGAAGACTATACCCATCCCCTGGCAATGGGTACACTAAACAGAATCAGGGGGGGAAAGGTGCCGACTAGTGTTAGAGGTTAGGTGCCCTTTTGAATCATATTGACGGGTTGTGGGTCAGTGCTTGTAATTCATGACATTTTTGATGATTTCCAGTGCCATCCTAAGCAATTACTAAGCCCACTGACCTGGAAGGGTATAATTCTGCCTAGGATGGCATTGTTGATCTCATTTTGACCACTAAGGTCGTAATTGTGTTTCCTCCTGTTTTCATTAATTATCCCCCCCACCAGTTACTGTCTTAAAATACATGATGATAAAAGATAATGTTTGTTATATGCTGCTGGTTTTGAACTTAATCTCAGTACCTTCACTCTTTCCAGTACAGCGTAGGTCATCTCAGACAGTGAAAACAGCAAATTTCCCTCCTTCCTCATCGCAGGGCTGGTGTACAGTTGTGGATGTTTGGCTATGGAAAGCAGGTTTTGGAGCCTAAGCAGGTGAAATCAGGGTTGTGTGCCGGATGTTCTTTGCCCTAGTTTCAGGGCCAGGAAAAATGATCGGAAGTGGATTTTTGTTGTGCAGAAGGTTCAATACAGTGGAGCATGGAAGAATAATAGGCGACAGGAATGGAGCCCTAGTTAAGGACAGAGTTGGAAGGCACTAAAAATAATGAATAAATCTATTTCAGCTGATCTTTACCTTTCTTTCCAAGCACTAGTTACAGTGATTGTATCTGACTAGGAGGGATAAAGGAGGGAATATGGGAAATTCGACATTCTCCTACTTGCTGTTTTCTGCCTGCAGCAGCCAAATTTTCCCTCACTCATCATGTACTCCGGGCTTCACCATGTGATTTTTCTCTCTGCAGGACTGAAACTGTCTATTGTATGAATGAAGCAGAGCTGGTAGATGCAGCTCTTTGCATTCTGGCTGGGGTGAGCATCTATTTGTTTCATTCTTAGTCCTCCTTTCTCCACAGTGGGGACTCAAAGCGGCTTACACCATTCTCATTCTGTCGCAGTGCTGACTCCTGGCTACTTGCTTCCCCCCCCCTATCTCCCTGTGGTGGCTACTGTTTGTCTGGAAGTTCCTTTTGCTGTTCCACCGCTCTGTTGCCAAATACAGTGTGTTTCCCCCAGCCACCGAGGGAATTTTTAAAATGGTAACCAGTATGGTGGATGTCACTCTCTCAGCTGTCTCACCTTTCACAATGTGCAATTATATCTCCTACCATTTCCTGGCTGGACGGAGCAAATGAGAAATGCCATTATTTAACATGCATGTGTGTGTTTACTTTATTAGAAATGCAAGGGCAGGGAAGTGGGGGTCACATCATCTGAGGATGAAGCCCAAGCGCCCCAGCAAGTACTGCCAGATCCTCCGTGGACTTCAGTGAGTGGAAGTGATGGCGCAGGAGCCCAGAGCCCTGGGACAGGATCCAAGACTCCAAACAAGTTGGAAGCTTCGGCCTACAATGAAAAAACTAAATCAGATGACGATGACGCTTTAAAATATGTCAGGGAGATTTTCTTTACGTAATTTCCAAGCTTAACACATTTCTCTGGCAATTAAGGGTGTTCTGAGACATGAGGGCCATCTTGGGGCTACAGCACGATGTCATAACCATATATCTTTCCAGGTTCTCTGAGCATGCTGCTTATTTGGATTTTAATAACTGAACTGTATTACTAAAGAGTAAGGACAACAGATGTTTCTTACATGCAGTCTTGCTTGTGTTGCATTGTGAGAAAGAGCTGTAAGTTTTTGCTCAAGGTCCCATCTCAAGCTGCCCCGCTTCAAGCCAGAGTCTGTGTTGCAGCCAAACGCTCAGCGTGTCGCTCTCCAGCTCCTCAGTGTACAGCATCTCTCTGACAATCTTGGGGCTCCCCTGGCCCCGTTTCCCCACCTGCCCTGCTCCCAGCTCCACTTATCCTACTAGGCCCTTCTGCCTTCATTCTAGGCATGCCAGACCCCAGCCTCAAAAGCAGGCTGTTCCTTGAAGGGCTCTGGAGTGGAAGGAAATCCAACAGTTATGGCTTTCATCCTGTTGCAGAAAGCAATTTCTCCCCAGCGTGATAATTATTTTAAAATTATAAGTTTCTCATGTGATTTGGCAACTTAATTTTTTTTTTTTTTTAATAGTTTTTTATTAAAGTATAAGTAGTGGTACATCCAACACCCGTGATCCCCATAAACCCACCATACTGCACATTAAAATGATCCTTAAAGCTTAACAAAAATCTATATATATCAATTATGATTACAATCAAATTATCTTGTATGTTCTTATACATTCTTATCGATCCAATCATAAACATTTGACCACATAGCTGAAAATACAGAGTTTTTCCTTCCGTGGAGTTTTTGTGTTAGATTGTCCATTTCTATCACCTCAATTGCTTTGTTTATAAAATCTAGTCTATCCGGAATTTCATCTCTTTTCCAGTAACTGGCTAATACGATTCTAGCTGCTGCTAACAAATTTGTCAGGACGTGTTTATCTTTTTTTTCCCAACTCTCGGGTAGAATATTTAATAAAAATATTTCAGGGTCCAGTGTTATTTGCAACTTTGTTGCCTGGGTGATCACCTGATGTACCTCTTTCCAGTATTTCTTTACCGCATCGCAGGACCACCAAACATGGAAAAACGACCCAATTTGTGCTTTACATTTCCAGCATTTATTGTTACTACCGGGGTAAAATTTGGCCAATCTAGCAGGGGTTAAGTACCAGCGATGACAGATCTTAAACAGGTTTTCTTTTAGTGATACCGCCTTTAGTTGTCTCATATTTTTCCATATCCCATCCCATTTTCGTGGGTCAATTATTTTCCCTATATTATTATTCCATTTTGTCAGGGGTGTTTTCTTATTTTTATCTTGTGGTCTATTTTCTAATAGAAAGGCGTATATTTTGCCTATCATTTTTACTTCTGGACCCAATAAAATTTTATCTAGTACTGTAAAGTTTTTATTTATCCCTGTTTGAATATCTTTGTTATATTTAGATGTTAATTGGATTCTTTCCCACCATGTTAGTTTGACCTGTTGGGCTTGCAAGGCCTCCTGTGATTTTAGTTGATTATTCTTGTTTAGTAAGACTTCGTAACTTAAAGTTCGGGTTTCCGTCATCAAAGTTGGTAATGAGATAGCCTCCAGGGGGGCAACCCATCTTGGTTTTTTGTCATAGTAGTTAGTTTTAATTTCCTTCCATATTTTTATTAAACAGACTCTGATTCGGTGTTGACAAAAGTAGGAATGTTTTTCTGTTCCTACGCTTAAAAAATAGTGCCACCCTGCCATTAGGTTGTGGCCTTCTAGGCTTAAAATCCTCTGATTTCTGAGCAAAATCCATTCACGTAACCATGTCAGTGCCGCGGCCTGATAGTATAGTCGCCAATTCGGCACTGCCAATCCGCCCTTCTTTGTTTTTTCTTGTAAAGAATAAATCTTTATTCTGGGTTTTTTCCCCCCCCAAATAAAATCTGATGTTAACTTATCCATAATTTTTATAAACTTGTAATTATTGAGTACTGGGATGTTTTGAAACAGGAATAGTATCCTGGGAAGTATAGCCATTTTAATCACTGCCACTTTCCCCATAAGAGACAATTGAAGCTTGGACCAATTTTCTAAATCCTTTTTAACCTGTATCAAGAGCGTATCGTAATTACCTGGTATCAATGTACTTGTTCTATTCGTAATGTTTATCCCAAGATATTTCACGTTCTTTTCTAAACCAAAATCGGTTATTTCTTGCAGTTTTCTCTCTAGGGCTGGGCCACAATTTTTCGTTAGTATTTTTGTCTTGGTCTTATTTATTTTCAGGCCCGATAAATGCCCAAAATCATGCATCACCTCTAGCAGGGGTGGGACAGATTGCAACAGTAGAAGGCCGAGTGCTTTTCCCTGGGCATAATGTGTTTTTTATTGTTTATTTATTTATTTTTTAACCAAAGAACAGGAAATGTGCTGGGGGTTGTGTGTCAATGTCTGATAACCTTTGTTCAGTAAATTGACTAGCTATTGCAACCACTCACAGCTAGAATTAAAGATAATGTTCTTTAATATTTACATAAGGTGCTGATTTTTTAAAAAAATGCAACAAAAATAAATGGTTTTAATAAATGTTGAGGTACTTGAATATTTTATGTGGATTAAATGTGGATCTGTATCCAGCGAAGTGGACCTTGATGTTAAAGTACTTTGATCAGGTGAACTGCATACACTTATGATAAACATATGATAACCAGAAACCAAGCTTGTCATTCTTTTTATCTGTTAAAAAACACTTCACTATTGACTTCCGGTTTTGGCGCTTTAAACGATGGTGTGTGCCATGAATCAGGGATTAGGAGGGAGCGTGATTGTGCACACTCCCCCATGGAGCCTATAGACAATGGGCTTCTAGCCAGGGGGCTTCGGAGAGCCCTACCTCCAGCCGGCAGCCGGTACAGGGGGGCTACTTTCTGCCCTGAAGGTCCTGCCCTGATTCCCAGTACTGGATTAGAAGCGACCACTGGGACAAGCATTTGGAGGTTTAGCGATTTTCTCTGCCTGGAGTGATCCCAGGGGCCGTCTTAGGACCTGGTGGATCGATTCAAGGATTGATGAGTGAGTTGCCGTTGAAACGAGACACTAAAGCCTAGAAGTGAAGTCCCTCTACTATAAGCGTATAAATGGAGGGGGGAGGGGACGCCCTATCTCCCAACGTTTTAAGCAAATGCGAAAGCAAGGATGGAGGGACTGATCAAATTGTGGCGATGGACTGTATCGGAGAGTTTTTCTGAAAGAAAGCTGAGCATTTAAACAGACCTTCGAGACTTCGGCATTCTTTCTCGGCTGATGTAAACATCCCCAAAAGATGGCGACGAGAGGCGAAGAGGGAGGCGGGATCAATGTTCAGGAAGGAGAACAGTGGAAAGTTAGGTCATAGACTTTGTCTTTAAAGTGAATTGTGGGCCCTCTGGTGGCTAAAGCGAGAAGCGACCTGGGTCTGTACTAAAAGCAGCTACACTTTTAAAGGGACAGTACATTGATCATAGAGACGTATGAATGGTAAGGAGACTAAAGTTTAGTTCTTTGTGGCTGGATTGGCAAACTGATCGAAAAGCGGTTTTCTGGAGTAAAGGGCTCGCTACCCCAACTTTACAAGATCTGCTTGCTAAGAGAAAGGTTGGAATCTCCAATGAGCGTGTTGTTAATGCAACAAAAGGAAAGGCTCTTTTGATCTACGACGTTTAAGGAAGTGAAGATGTCCCTGGAAAAAAGAAACTTGGTTTATATCATGAATGGACAGATCCGGACTTATAAAAACTAAAAGATAATTGAAGAAAGAAGATACACCGAAGACGGAAGAAGAAAAACGTGTTGTAATGTTCTTACTGAGGGAACATTGTTTTTAAAGATCTTGCCTATGGGGGGGGGAAGTAAAGCGTGGAGATGCTAATTTTTTCTTAAGGGCTGTGATTATGTGTGTTATAGCTTTGGAATTACTCTCTGTTCAGTCAGATAAGCTGGTTTTGTCAGCAGAAGCAATGATTGGTGGGCACTCTTCATGTTTGAAAGTAACTGTATAAGAGTAATAACTATGTTTTAAGCATTGTAAAACCTCCATTCTTGGGTTTTTAGTTAGGTTCTTTTTACTTTCTCCTATAGATGGTAGATTCTCCCTCCCCAATTTCTGTTGTAGTTTTATAGAAATGCAAATAAAAAATTCCCCTTCGGGGGGCCAAAAAAACCAACCAACCAAAACACTTCCCTATTTTGCATGCTAATTTAACATGCCAACTAGTATATATACAAGTATGATCTGTAATTCCATTTCATCATCTGATGAAGTGTGCGTGCACACAAGAGCTCAAGCGAATAAAACCTTGTTGGTCTTAAAAGGTACCACTGGTCACTCTGTTTCATTGTTTCAGACCAACATGGCTGCCCACTTTGATGCATACACCTATGACAGTGCCGAGATATATTACAGTCAAGAGTTTTGTTGCAATCTTACTTGGAAACAGGAAATAATGGGTGTGGGAAATTCCTGGTCACTAGTTAATGCTAGTCCTGCTAACTTTGGCACAGTAAAATTGCTACATTGCTGAAAATATTTTTGAGCTTCAAAATGAAGCCTATAGTGCCTTTTGTAGGAACAGCATACTACATTCTATGGCAACGATAAGTACGTCTTATGAGAAGCGTGAACAGTATTTGGAAGGCTGTAACCCTGCTGTCGGTGGTGCTGTGTTTTTTAAACTGTTTTGGCTGTAGATACATTTCAGTACATGCAGGTGCATAATTTCAGCAACATCCTTGACTGTGATGCAACTCTTGTGCTACATTTTGTTGATCTGGCATAGAATGACTAGCCTGTAAAGAGTAGGGTATCTGCAGTTAGTCTGCTTAGAACCCTGATTCTAGCAAAACATTAAAGTATTATTTGTCAGGGAGCAGCTGTGCTTTGTGGATACACTTTGTCCCAGTAAGACTATCATTTAATGTGTGTTGCCATATTCAATGTAACATGAGGACATCTGTGCAGAAGGGAAGTATTTAACCTGTGCTGCTTCTCCCATCCTATGAAAAGCTGTACCTAGCAAACAGATCAGGACCCCTGGAAGCTTATATTTTGAGCCTTGTATTTTTTTAAAAAAAATGCTTTTCTTCAACTTGATGAGGCCCCTCCTAGGCTGTTATTAGTGTAAGAAAATAATATTTAAACAAGTTGTATGGATGCTCTTGCTAGGTGAAATGAGAAATGTTGTGATGTAGACGCTGAGACGTTTCCTATTCACTATCTTGCACATTGCAGAGTATTGTAGGTTGAGTCAGGAATACCCACCCTGTGGAAGAGAAGTGATTCCCATACACACGTTTTCCAACTTGGATCAGGACTGCGGTGTGCATGTGGTGAAGGGACTTATGCTTTGCACCAGCACTGTTTTCATGAGCTGAAACAGTGGGTTCATCCAACAGGTAAAAGTCTCCCCACCCCAATTTTCTGGAACTGTTTCAGTTTGGGGAAACAATATGCGTGGGGTACAGTGGGGTGGGAGACTGAAGCCTGATGCTGTGGACCTGATCCTAATTATGTACCATATGCATGGAAATTGAAGAGAACCTACAACTCAGTTATGCTGGGGTAAGACCCCAGACACATCCTATGTACATGTATCATGCCACCTCAAAATGCTACAGAAATGCTTCCATCTAAAATCTAAAAAGCCAAACACATCACATCAGGTAGTGATGAACAAGGCTTTTATTTGAACATTGCTGTTGGGATAACAAAAAGGTTTTGTTTTGTATCGGCACAAATAGGTGAAAATGTGACCAGGCCACTTATATTCATAAACTTTATTGCGTTAGCTCATTGCCTTAGCAAACAACAACAGGAAAGAGCTACAATACAAACAATCTCCATGCAAATTAAAACCTTTTATGTAACCTTTTATTGAAACAGATTAATCTAAAGATGAAATATATTGCTTTGTTTCAAATTGTCAGCAAGCACCAAGGAAAAGAAAAACTTCCTCCCTTATGTAGTAATGTAGTTACTCATTAGCATGTAGATAAATCAAGGTGGTAGCATTATCAGTTACCACAGCGAACTCAGCTATATGCTTGGAACACAGTTGTGTTTGTTTTCTTTAAAGGAAAGTCTTAACAACCAGTCATAACCAGTTCCTCATTGGGCCTGAGAGGGAACGGTCCTGTCCATGTTTGCATCTTGTCACCTTCTTTCTTGAACATCTTTTCTAGCCTGCAATGGGGCTCGTCTGCGTGCCATAATCCGGGGGTCTTTTCCTAGTCCCGATTCCATTTGTTGTATGGTGGGAATGAACAGAAACACCAGCCCTTTCCCCCTATAAAATGTTGAACAGGCACCCCAACTAACTGAAAGCCACAGCAAAGCCAGTGGACCAAACTGCAGCTCACTGTAGCATTCTTTTTGGTTTAAAAATCAGAGAATGACACCACCACAACCACCTCAATTTAAAACAGTATGCATTATGGCAATGACTCGTTAAGTACGGAAGTAATAGAATACTGTGCTGCTTAACCTATAGCCTCATCCTTTTCAAATTAACTGCGATGTTAGTAGTTTTGTAGCACAAAAGGAGCCTAACAAATGTGTTTGCCCAGCCATAGAGAAATCCCCTCCGCAGAGCTCTTATTAGAAGAGACCGTTGCAGTCTCTTCCTAGCAGCCAAAAAGGTGGCTTCTGCCATTTGTTACCTTCCCTCACACCCCATCAGAAACAAGACAAAAGCATGCTAGAGGAGGGGGTGGGGGAGATGATACTGATCTCAATAGCAGACTTTTTGGTCCCCTCTAGTAAAAGCTTGTCATTTCTGGTGACTCCTGAAAGTGCATGAATTGAATACTTCCAAGAAAATGCCAAAGCAGTTAACTGTTATCAATTTTAAAAGAATGTGCTAAAGTTTTCTGAGAAAGGTATATTTCCCATTCCACTTACAGCCCAACAAATCAAGCAATTTTTCAGCCCCAGAATAGCAGACAGAAGGTCATACGCTGGAGTACGACCTCTCTCTCCTGATGTGCTCCTCTTATACAGTCACAGTCCCTCACACTCTGCTCATCTGGTGCACAGACGGACAACCTTGGCACCTGCTTATCCTGCCCATCGTGGTGTCTGCTGTGCCAAACAGAAGAGTCTGCAACCCAGTTTGTTTCCTCCCTGACACTTACAAGGCAGCTGTGTGTCCCCCAAAGCCCGCTGTGAGAGGGAGGGTGTAGGAAATGATTAACGCTCATATGTAATTGCAGATCGCTATGTCCCCGTGCAAACTGTGTCTAAATCCTGGCTTCTGCTTCATAGGAGCTACTTTAGAAAAGCCAAGTGTCGAAGTGATTATCTTGCAGAATCAACATAGGCCCAGAGCAACACAACATCTAACCTGACTCAGTGGAATATGGACTGACCTGCAGGTGTTGTTCAAAAGGCACTTTAAACATGTATTGCCTGGTACTTAACCATACTTATGGGATGCTCTTTACAGGAAAGAACTGTCCCGGGGGACGCGCATCTTTGAGCTGTGCCAGGTACGTGGCAATAGTGATCATGTGGAGCAAGAGCAAGGCATGAGCCCCAGCTAAGGCTACAAAAACCCCTCCAAGCTCAGAGATCTGAACCCACCTCTCAGTCTGGAAGAGAAACAAACTGAGACCAGCGGGCAAACTCAGAGCACCAACGGCCAACAGAATACAGGCTAGTTTCCATCCATCTTTGTCTTTTAAGCACAGGGCCTGCAAGATGGTAGTGGCAACATAGAGGCACAATACTGGTGTGGAATAGACACAGATCCTGGACAAGACCAGTGCCACTTTGTTGATGCCCATCTTTTCTAAGTCCTTGATCAGAAGGCAATCCAGTTCTTCTGCTTCCTCGTTCCACAGGCAGATGTTGTAGAAGCCAATTCTCTTGGTCGGAAGGCTGACAATAATTCCAGCTTCCCAGATGAGAGCATAAAACAGCAAAGCAATGTAACCAGTCACCAGGAAGAGATTACTCAAATATATCAGATACCGACAGTATCTCTTCCACCCTAGCCCTATGTTGGAATTAGTGATGGCTCTCATCTGCTTTTTCATCTTGAAAGTCACCTGCTAGGATGAAGAGAAGACCAGCTTCAGGTATATTCCAAAACAGTTTGAATCAATAGGTTGTCAAAGGCTTTCACAGCCAGAGTTCATTAGTTGTAGATTTTCTGGGCTGTATGGCTGTGGCCTTGGCATTGTAGTACCTGACGTTTTGCCAGTGACTGGCATCCTCAGAGGTATAACACAGAAAGATGGAGGTACTACAGGTACTACAATGCCAAGACCACGGTCATACAGCCTGGAAAATCTACAACAACTAATAAAGTTTGAATCAAGTTGGCAAGACACAGGAGAAGGAGAGTTTCTGTTCACAACTATTCTCAGTCAGCTTTGCTTAGGGAAACTAAGTGGAAACAGTTGCTCAACCCAGAGCAGATGGATGCACCTGTGTTAGAGAGGAGTATATCCAACCATATGACAGTAGAGAGTGCTATGCCATTAACATGTTGATCGTGTGGTCAAGTGGTTAAGACGCTGAACTGCAGACCGGAAGGTCGGTAGTTCAGCAGTTGGCCCCAGCTCCTGCCAACCTAGCAGTTCGAAAGCAAGAAATTGCAAGTAAATAAATAGGGACCGCTTCGGTGGGAAGGTGACAGCGTTCCGTGCACCTTGGCGTCTAGACATGCCGGCCACATGACCATGGAAACGTCTCTGGACAGTGCTGGCTCCTCGGCTTGGAAACGGAGATGAGCACCGCATCCCTAGAGTCGGATTCGACTGGCTTTCGAGCAAGGGAAACCTTTGCCTTTACCTAGCATGGGGCGGTATTCTTTGCAACTGATGTTAAAATGGACCCAAAAATGGTGAGATCATCAGGAGTGGGGAGTTAGGTTATCATCAATATTGATGTCACAGTCAGGACCTAATAAGGTAACAATACTCATGTAACCACATTCCATAAATCCACAAAGGATGGGACAGCAGAGAGAAAGATCTCATTTTCCCAGCAACAAAATTATTACTGTTGGAATGGAAGGAGGGGAGATGAGACTGCTGACAAATACAAGCACTCTCTTAAGAATAGATGTGTGACTCCTATTTGAAACTTTTATTTTCGTTTTTTCATATTTATACAATCTCTTACATATTTTATTCCTCTATACATTGGAGTCTATAATTCCCACTTTAACTTGATCCAATCATACAGACGCTTCCATCTTTCCACAAAAATATCATTGTCTTTCCCTTGGAGTATTAGACTTAATTTATCCATCTCCGCCATTTCCAATAGCCTACATGCTATTTCATCCCGTGTAGGTAGTTGGTCTTGTTTCCAATATTTAGCAAGCAAAATTCTTTCTTTGTTTTCTTTTTTTTTGACACTTTTATCGTGTGACTCCTATTTGGAAAGCTCTTAATTGCCAAATCACATTTCCTGTAAGGAAGAGTTCTTTCAACTATAATAGTTCTTTCACTTTCTGTTAGAACAAGCACGAAGGGTGCTTCAACCTGCTTTACGAGTGCAGGAGAAAAAGATGAGAATAAGGCTGAGGAATGGACAGCATCACTTTAGACTGCAGGTGGGGGGCTGTGAGAGGTTCGAATTTTGGAATACTTCCCCTACATAAACAGCTCCCCACAAAACATAAATCAACCATAGCAAGTAAAGAGAGAGCACAGAAGCTTTATTCCTGCTAAGTTTTCTATTTGCATGGAGGGGTTTTTTTAAAAAATGAAGAGGACATTAAAGCTGCAATTTATCTATCTCCTCATGACTCTGGCATCTCATTTTTAGTTAACCCACCACAGATACTGGAGATTACACGAACAGTTAAAATCACATTTAGATCAGATCTACAGACTCGTACCTTTAATGGAAGATTCTCTTGCTGTAGGTCCAAAGTTGGTTTCAAAGTGATGGCCCACTTTCTTTCTTAGTGCATCTGTTTCCTTTGCAGTGTGCTTTCTTTGCTATAAAGTCAGGCTAAAGGTACAAGGGGGGGGAATTAACACTCTAAATCAAGTTTCACTGTGGAGGAGACATTCACCCACCCCATAGCACAAGTCAGAAACTTGAGATAACATGTTAAGGACACAGACTTCCAAAAAGGAAATGTTTCCATAGCTGAGTAAATATTGTATAAATATTATACCTATTTTAGCTAGCTGGTTTCTCAGTAATAAAGGCGCTCCAAGTAACGATCTTGCAAATAGATACAAAATGCTAATAAAAAAGAAGGTATGCACCCAGTGCTGAACAAGGCTTTAGCTACACATTGTTGGATTTTGCACTGTCAGTGTGATGTGGGAGTCATCTGCAACTGGATTTTGTTGGGTGGACAAGACAAAGAAGAGTTATAGCACACCATGATATCCAGCAATGCATGGACTCTTCCCTACATGACTATGAAAGGGGATTATGCAGATTCTCAGGAGCATGGAGCTTTCAATGGCTACTACTAGCCATCATAGCTCAATGGAAGCTTTCTGCTCAGAGACAGTCTCTCTCTCTCAGTAGCAGACACAGGAGAGCTGTTGCTACCATATCTGGCTTGGGCCCCCCCTAAGAACTTAGGCTGGCCACTGTTTTCTAGAACAGGTGGACCCTGGTTTATTTTTGTGTTCTGCAGGGTCCCTGTGACTTACTCTAGTGTGCTCATGGTTACAGATATAATAATAAGATCTTTTTGTTCTGGTCGCGGGGGGGGGGGCGGGAATAATAAAGGGGAAAATTGATGCATTTGATGTTTGGCTATGTTATGTAAACTTGAGGAGAAGGATTGTGAATGAACAGGAAATGTTAAACATCAATACAAATAAAAAATTATTACAAAAAAAAATGGAAATCAAGTTAAACCTGATAGCATTGAAGACAGAAAACTGTTCAATAGAGTTTTACTGTCACAGACATTACAGCATATTTGGGACTAAATCATGCACAATCCTTGAAAAAACACGGGTTGCACTTACCTGTAACCTTTGTTCTTCGAGTGGACTTCTGCGCAGGCACACATGGGGACTGCGCTTCCACAGGCCAACCACCCGGAGGAGCTAGCAAGCTCAAAAAACTTCTTACATCCTGAGAGTGCTAGTTTTTCCATAACAACAGTGGCTTTTCTCACCCAAAAGTCATCTAGTCCAACCCCTAGTCCAGGGTCATCTAGTCCAACCTCTGGACAATGTAGGGAATTCACAAATACCTCCACCCCACACCCCCAGTGACCGCTGTTCCACACCCAGAAGATGACAAAAAACCTCCAGGATCCCTGGCCAAACCAACCTGGAGAAAAATTGCTTCCTGGCCCCAAAATGGGGGGCGTGTAAGAAAGGGCCACAAGAACTAAGTACTGATGCAACCCTTCTTGCCCTTCCTTCTCATGATCTGCCTGAGTTCACACAATCAGTATTGCTGTCAGATGGCCATGTAGTTTGTCTGAAAACCTCCAAAGAAGGAGAGCCCACCACCTCCCAAGGAAGCCTGTTCCACTGAGGAACTGCTCTAACTATCAGGAAGTTCTTCCTAATGTTTAGCCAAAAACTCTTCCGATTTAATTTCAACCCGTTGGATCTGGTCCGACCTTCTGGGGCATAATATACAGCAACAAATTTGGATTGCACGTATAGTAACTGCTTAAATTTTATTAATCTCACTATAAACCAGGGCACCTTCCTTTTATTTTCTAGTTTTCTCTTTTGTCCTACTGTCCTTTTTTGAGTTCTACTGACTGAAGGACTTTGGTGTTTTTTCATTACTTCCTCTGTTTTGTTTTAAGATATTGATATCAATAATTCCATGAGCCCCATCAGTACTATCACTAGCTCTGCAATTCTGAACTTTAACCATTGAGTTTATTTGAATATCATCTTTTTCAGTGTGTGTTTCCTCTTCACCGCGTATGTGTGCCCTCATGGTTTGTTTGTTTTTTAAATCTTCTCGTCTGTTTCTGTATTAATTGGTCTCTGCACCTCTCTCGGACTGCCATACCCTTCCTCAAATTCCAGGCTAGATATTACTGTTTCCCAGTCTTGAACTCGTAAGTAGGACCATTTTAAAGCTCTCGCTTCTGCTGCCCATTCCCTTTTAACTGCCCAGCACTGGGAAACAGCATGCGGGTACCATTTCCATGATCGGGTCTCCTGACACTCCTGGCACTTGCACATTCTGAGAGAGGGGGCTCTTACACCCTTTTTCACTGTCTGGAAACCAAGGGTGTTTCTCCACTACTGCTAATACTTTATGGTAAGTTTTCCATCGCAAATCCCACAAACTGTAGGGAACGGCTCTATCTTCAAAAGTGGATAGAGGAAACCGTTGATCTCTCACGTATGGTGACGAAGTCATTTCCCCCCTCAATCATAACTATCCAGCAAAATTTCTTTTAATAATTCCTAACACAGTTTCATACCTGATTTTACTTAAGATTCAGTCCCATTTCAATGTATCCTTGAACTTTTCCGTTTTTATTTTTAGAGTTTGAATACACCCCGCAGCTTCCCTCATATATAAAGACAGGGGGTCTTTTAAATTTTTTGTAAGCCTATAAGTTGCTTTTTGTTCTTGCCATCATATTCTGCCCCAGTTTGTATTGGACCATTCTGACCCAAAACTTAACCAAGGATATAAATTTAACTGTTTTTGGCTCATTCCCCTTTCCACTTCTGACCAAGGTGTCCAGTTATAATGGCAAAATAGTACCATAAACTATCGTTCTAAATGGGGTAGAGCAAGCCTCCCTTTCTTTAAAGATCTATATATACATTACTACCCTTGGCAAAGGAAACTTTTCTGTCCATTCCTAGCTAGGGATTACAAAGTAGGGTTGCTAGATCCAGGTTGGGAAACTCTTGGATCTTTGAGGCTGAAGCCTGGAGCTCAGTGGACTACAATGCCATAGAGTCCACCCTCCAAAGCATCCGTTTTCTCCAGGAAAACTAATCTCTTTAGTCTGGAGATGAACTGTGATTGGGTGTGTGTGTGTCCCCCAGATCCCCACTGGAGGCATCACCATTCCAAAGTAGTGTGAACTTAGATTCCTTCAGTGGGCTGAAGTTAAATCCGTCGGCACACAGTTAAGTAGTCGTTTATTACGTTATGGACCAGCCGAAGAAAACAGACATACTGGCAAACACCGTTCGAGAGTGAAAACGCCTTCCACCCCACGCCGTGTTTTCAGTCTTTCTCGTAAGAGCTCCCCAATGAATCCTGCAGAATCCCTTTCGACTAAAGGATTCGGCTGCCACCTTAAAACCTCAGCAAGCTGGCAAAGACCGCTTTGCAAATCAAAAGGCTAATGGTCTAAGTGTGAGAAAATTGGTGCTCTGTTTTTTGTACAACTATACAACGCGTCCTGCCGTTATATTGTTTTCTGCTGTGTTTTGCGTCGTGCTTTTGAGACCACCAAACTAGATGCCAGAATATTCATTTAATGAATAAACAGAACAAAATCTGATCTCACACCAACGTTGTGAAACTCCCGAGACAAACAATGGTGGGAGGGAGGGGGGCGCGAGGGAGAGACGGGAACTGCCGAGGCATCAGGAACGCGATTGCACTGCAAGCTCCTATCAAATTACCGAGCGTAAAGCCAGCAAACTGAACAGCCGTCAATCCATGCTTTTAAATGCCCCAACCCTCCTTGCTTATTCAAAAGGCATAAAAATATTTTCTTTCAATATTAACACAGCGACAAGAGCAGTTCAAGAATAAACAGTAAGAATATTTACCTGCTTTCTGGCCCCGACGAAAATACTAAAGCGTCCCCACTGCTTCAGCCCTCTCCTTTCCTCTAACCCTGAGTTTCTTCGTGGGAAATGCTTTGCCTCCTGGCCCGATCACGTGCAGCACTCCCGGGTCACGCCTCCCAACCGAATGTCCCTTTCATTTTCGGTTTCCCATATTTACAGACAGCCGCAAGTGGCTTCCCCAGTTGACGTCTTAGGACACATGATTGATCCAGAGACGGTGTCGTCTTTCGTCCTTGACACTCCTGCCTTACCTGTAGGCGTTTCTGTCCATTTGAAGGTTTTCTAGTATATTTGCCAACTCTGGGTTGGAAAATTCCTAGAGATTTTGAGGGTAGAGCCTGGGAATTGCAGGGTTTGGGTAGTGGGGGTACCTCATCTCCCTTATAAATAAAAGCCAAATGGTGGTGGCACTTCTCTAGAACATTCCACATGCTCCAAAATCAGTCCTCTCTCTGATGTCATTCAGAGGGTCTCCCTATCCACTGGCTGCTTTGCCTGAGTCCTGCCTCCAACATTTTAAACAGTTTGCTGTTCTTCTCCCCACCCATAGCCAGTCAGAACACAGAGGTCATTTCCATATGCAGCCTCATTGGCCTTTGCCTCGGAACACAGAGGTCATTTGCATATGCAACTTGATTGGCTTTTGCCTCTAACAATTCTAAACAGTTTGCTATTCTGAGGTAGAATGTGTCCAATCTCCAGGTGAGGGCTGGAGATCCCTCAGAATTACAACTGCTTTCCAGATGGCAGAGATCAGTTCCCCTGGAGAAAATGGTGGGCTCTGTATCCTTATATGCTGCTGAGGTGGCCCCTTATGACAGCCAATGTGATGGTAGAAGCCAGGGCTTCAGAGCAGAGGAGAGGTTGCAGGTGTGTGGGGGGTGGAAAGCTGAAGAGTGAGGGGAAAATAAAGGTAGGTTGATGATTGGCTGGTAAGAAGATTAGCTGGTAAGGGTTGCCAACTCCAGGTGGGAAATTCCTGGAGATGTGAGGGATGGAGCCTGGAGAGGGTGAGGTTTCAGGAGGCGTGGGACCTCGGACAGGTACAAAGCCATAGACTCCACACTCCAAACCAACTATTCCCTTCGGGGAACCATGGTTGCCAATCTCCAGGTGAGGGCTGGAGACCACTCAAAATTACAACTGTTCTTTAGATAGCAGAGATCAGTTCCCCTGGAGAAAATGCTGGACTCAGTGTCATTATACCCTGCTGAGCTCGCCACAGCAAATTGACACTGAGTGTCCAAAGCCGGGGCACCCGCCCAGAGCCTCTTTCTAGAGGCCGTTGTATTTATTTCTACAACGGGCCTTTTTCCTAGTCAGGGTATAATGCCATAACGTACACCCTCCAAAGCAGCCATTTCCCCCCCAGGGGAACTGATCTCTGTTGTCTGGAGATTGATTATAATTGAAGATCTTCAGGCCCCACCTGGAGGTTGGCAAACCTATTTTGTACAGTTACATCCATATGGATGTTTTTCTCCAAGTTTGCTTCTCAATTGGATTGCTATTTTTAATGCCTCTGAATTTGCAGCAGCAATGTATGCAGAATAGAGAATGCTGGCCTGTATATGCAGCCTTTGACGCTCAAGTATGGATATTTCACTTTCCTTTTAATATAAATGCAATATGAATCCGGTTTTCAGGGACTAGTCAAGACCCTCTGCTTCAAATATAAGCACAGATGAAGCAAAATGGACTGCAGTTGTGTTTATGTGCAAAAATACAGATGGAGTAGTAGGGAATTCTGTGTTTTCCCAGGACTGTTTTTATGACTCACTGCCTGATAAGAGGTCACTTGAAAATATTTCTCACTGTATGGCAAGCTGTTTGTATAGATTAACTAGGAGCTCAGATATGGAATAACTCTTATATTGTGGAATGATGTAGTGCTGCTGTCCAGGTTTGTAGAATAACTACTATCACACTACTATCACCTGGAGCGATTATGCTGGGGCTCTCAAGCTACCCGGTGATTCCAAAATCTATCTTTGAATAGTACATAATTTATCACATAAGAACATAAGAGACACCAATGTTGGATCAGGCCAAAGGCCCATCCAGTCCAACACTCTGTATCACACAGTGGCCAGAAATACCAGTGCCATCAGGTGGTCCACCAGTGGGGCCAGGACATTAGAAGCCCTCCCACTGTTGACCCCCCCCAAGCACCAAGAAGACAGAGCATCACTTGCCCCAGAGTCCCTATCTATACCTTGTGGCTAATAGCCACTGATGGACCTCTGCTCCATATGCTTATCTAATTCCCTTTTGAAGCCGTCCATGCTTGTAGCACCCACCACTTCCTGTGGCAGTGAATTCCATGTGTTAATCACTCTTTGGGTGAAGAAGTACTTCCTTTTATCCGTTCTAACCCGACCGCTCAGCAATTTCATGGAGTGCCCACGGGTTCTTGTATTGTGAGAAAGGGAGAAAAGTACCTCTTTCTTTACCTGCTCTTTCCCATGCATAATCTTATAAACCTCAATCATGTCACCCCTCAGTCGTCGTTTCTCCAAGCTAAAGAGCCCTAAGCGCTTTAACCTTTCCTCATAGGGAAAGTGTTCCAACCCTTTTATCATTCGAGTTGCCCTTTTCTGCACTTTTTCCAAAGCTATAATATCCTTTTTAAGGTGTGGTGCCCAGAACTGCACACAGTATTCCAAATGAGGTCTCACCATTGATTTATATAGGGGCATTATTATATTGGCTGATCTGTTTTCAATACCCTTCCTAATAATCCCCAGCATAGCATTGGCCTTCTTTATTGCAGTCACACACTGTCTCGACATTTTCAGTGAGTTATCTACTACAACTCCAAGATCTCTCTCTTGATCTGTCTCTGCCAGTTCAGACCCCATCAATGTGTATTTATATTTAGGATTTTTGGCTCCAATGTGCATCACCTTGCACTTGGCCACATTGAACCCCATTTGCCATGTTGACGCCCACTCGCCCATCTTTGACAGATCCCTTTGGAGTGCCTCACAATCCTCACTGGTTTTCACCACCCTGAACAACTTCGTATCATCTGCAAATTTAGCCACTTCACTGCTTACTCCCATCTCCAAATCATTAATGAACAAGTTAAAAAGCAGTGGACCAAGTACTGATCCCTGCGGTACCCCACTGCTTACCACCCTCCACTGCGAAAATTTCCCATTTATACTCACTCTCTGTTTTCTATTAATTAGCCAGTTTTTGATCCATAAAAGGACTTGTTCTTTTATCCCATGATTTTTGAGCTTACTTAGGAGCCTTTGATGAGGAACTTTATCAAAAGCTTTCTGGAAGTCAAGGTAAACAATATCTATTGGATCCCCTTGTCCACATGTTTGTTCACCCCCTCAAAGAACACTAACAGGTTAGTAAGACAAGGTCTTCCCTTACAGAACCCATGCTGAGTCTGCCTCACGCTTTATATCTATCCACGGTCATTCCCCTTTAATTCATTAGGTTGCTGCGCCCATCTGCCATTTTTTTCACATTCTTCTGCACAGCTTGTATTAGAGCAGGCTGTTTTGCTAAATTACTATTACTATAAATTACTGTTAGCAATGTAGAACAATTTCAACAAGGGCATCACACCAGTCAAAAAAGAACAAGTCACTCAGTACAAAACTTCTATAGACCATGATCTTAAGGGGTCTTCATCCAGCAGGCGGAAAAACAGCAGGCGGAAAAACATATCTGGTAATCAAACAGTGGACAACTGTCTACATAGGCACTGCCTTGATGTCTCCCATAGCAAATCAGTCTTATGAGAGCCTGCTTTGTATAAAATCCCTTGGGAGAAGTGGGAGCAGGGGAACTCAAATGGGCATGTCTGTTCTGTTTGGCACCAGATAGGCCTTGCAGAAGCACTTAGCTTCCCATTGGATTATTTTTCCATTAGATAGCTTCCATTTTCTTATTCCCAACATGCCAGGGTACAACTTGATACCACCATAGCCTGATGCTATAGTTCAACAAAACTTTCTGCACAGGATGCTAAGGTTGCCATCTCTGGATAGGGAAACCTCTGGAGATTTGGGGGTAGAGCCTGGTGAGGGTGGGGTTTGAAGGAGGGAGGGACCCCAGCGGGATATAATGACAGACAGTCCACTCTCAAAGCGGCCATTTTGTTCAGGGGAACTGATCTCTGTAGTCTGGAGATCAGCTGCAATTCTAGGAACTCTCTAGGCCCCAACTGGAGGTTATCAGCCAGCCAGGATGTGGATGAAGACCCCTTAAGATCATGGTCTGAGACATCTTCTACTCCCTTTAATATCCCATGTAATGGAGAATTCTGGAGAGTTCAAAATCATGCACACTGGGTTCTGTTATTTTGATCTTAATAAATTATCATCATTATCATTGTTATTGATTTTTATACCACCTTCCCCATGAGGAAGGGCTCAGGGTGGTGTGCAGCAGGTTAAAACAGCTAACAGAGAACTAACCATACTGTTACTGTTCTCAACCGTATGCTTGGCAGAACATCTCTGCCTTGCAGACCCTGTGGAATGGTAATAGATCCTGCAGGGCCCGGGTGTCAGTTGGCAGTTCTACCAGGTCAGAGCCAGGACAGAGAAAGCCCTGGCTCTGGCTGAGGAAAGCCGGGCACTCTTTGGGCCAGGGGTATTACGTGATTAAAAAAAAAAAAAGTTATTCAAAATTCTCCTGCAATTTTCTAGTCTTCTTCTGTGGATGGTCCTGAATTTTTCTGTATGCATTTTCTTTCAATGGTTTACGGAACTTCAACTCCCCTCAATCTTAGAAAAAACAAAAAGTGCCTACACCTTAAAAGCCTTTCTGTAACCCTGATCTTCTTAAGGGTCATATAATAATCTAAATGTGAATACTTCAAAGGCATATCTAATCTGATGGCCTTGTGATAGATCCCATTAGCTAAAAGCCTGAAGGCTGAAACTGCGGTTTCCTTGAAGATTCCCATTGTATACTCTCTGGAAACTGGGTCTGTTGCTGTTGCTCTCCCAGGCAGAATTAATGGATGCAAGAATACACTCTTGGTGGGGTAGGCATTGGTGTGTTA